CTTTATGTATTCATACATAATATATGTCGTACTATCAGTTGGAGTAAAGTTGGAACAGTTGAACGGTATGACCTGACCTTGAGGAGTTTCGCGTGAATTATTTAAAGTTGCGCACTGATATTTATTGCTCTACCTGCCTCCGAGAAAAAGGTGAACCTCCGTGGTCCCGAAACTACGTGAGAAACTGCTTCGAATTCAAGTTATGTTGCTTTGGATCGTAATATATTTATGGTTAGGAAATATTAATATGTAGACTTTTATTAGATTACATATAGATCTTTCTTGTGGCTCTGCTCATGTTAGTATGAATTGTATTTATTGATGTAACTTATTTTTCTCCTTGTCTTATATTTGTAGCATTAGAGGATTTTTGCAAATAGATGATGACAATAACTTTTGAATGACGACTTAAAGATCAATAGTAAAGTACGGCCTTGACTCCAGGAAGAGTAATAGGTTTATTTTTGCCAAGGGTTGACATCAATGGGTGTCGTAAAAGGCGATTAAGTAATTATCTTAAGTGAATGGACGCAGCGACCTTCTATCTGCTACCATCGAACTATCACTAGTGTTTCGCTGTTTTAATTGTTCTTCCTTATTACTTACTTTCTATTATGACCAATGCGTTAAAGTGAATACTAGTGACAAAAAAGAAGCAACAATTCTTTTTTTTTTTTTTTTTTTTTTTTTTTTTAAAAAACGTTGCCCCACACTAGGATTTTCTCCTGTGTCGTGGGTGCGTTTACAAACATACAAGTTCACATACACAATGACACCCAGACCCGAAACAACAATTTGTGGATCACACAAAGTGTTGTTCCGTGCGGGAATCGAACCCGCGACACGTTGCACGGCAGCCGGTTGCCCAGCCACCGCACCAACCGTGCAGTCGCAATTTCTTAACGAATAGCTAGTTATAACCTAATTATTTAATATATGTAATTTAGTTTATTATATTAAAAATCAAGTAGATAATTATCCAAAGAGCCCTACATCACCTGTATTCATCAGGTCCCCAATCTATTTATAATACGAATACGAATTAAAATTTCACTTTCTTTGTTCTTCCGAATTCCTTTGCTCCTTTGTGCGTACAGTTAGCAAATCTTATTCTTATTTATACCGGGCCCTTTGTCCATGGAAAACAAAGTCTGAGTGTTAAATTATAAAAAAGGGAAGGAATAACATTTTCTAGGGGTTAATTTAGCGGTCGTTTAAAATAAATCTCTCTGTGGTTTCATTTGTTTTTCTTCCGATTCGCCTTGGATTGGTGTGCGAGGAAATCGGCCAGTTTGTGAAGCAATAACGTACAAAACATGAAAGAAAATCAAACATCGGATCCCTCTGTGTATAGGTGTAGCCGTAGGTGCCTGTGTACATATAGTTATATAGTGGTTGTTTTTTTTAGGAGATAATACATGTCAACAGAATTGTAAAACAAATATTCCGTATATGATAAAAATGAACATTGATTATTTAGTAGACGATTATCACTTTTAAATTTTTTGTTGACGTTCAGAAGTGCCTTTCTGGTCTAATTGAAATAAATAATTTTGATTTTAACTTTGACTTTGAACATAAATATTTTAAAGTACAAATAACTAGTAGATTCACGTATTTGAAAATCATTTTGTGTGAAATCTACTCATTTGTAGGGACTATCAATATTGGTCACATTAGCAATATTACCTACCTACAACACCAGAATCATCACGTCATAATAAACAAGATTACTTTCGCACAATCTTTCCAGCACATTTTCTCCTAAAACTCTTCCTACAATTCAAGTACTATCAAATGATCTCGCAAAAGTATGAACATTACTTAGGACTCGTACAAAAGGCTAGCACGAAATCTAATTCTAGATTTCCTTGGCCATTCACATCGAAGCAGTCGTTTAACACATTGTGCCTGGCTATGGAAATAAAGGCTTATTTTCTCAAAGCATTTGTTCCCTTCCAGAAGATGTATTTCGGATGCGAAACAGTTTATCTCTGGAGTTAGTAGCTGCAGATACACAGAGCTCAGAAAGATTGTGAGCTTCACGATGTTATTAATGAGAATTCTTGGTTTCATGAAGTTTTAGGTGTAGTATTAAATATAACGTCACCTTCTATTGTATACTCCGGGCGTAGTCCACTATTCTTTTTTGTCTTGTACCTACATTTTTATCATATTATTTTAGTTTGAATCGACTTATTTAAAAATGTAAAATATTTTTTACGTCTCAATTTTAAATTTCGAAGACGCCGATCAACGTCGCCGACTACTCACTACCAACATAATTTTCACATGACTTTATTTATTAAAAGTCACACAATAAAAGTTAGCGATATGATCTAGTAAAGTTGTTAGGGATTCCCATTAACCCTACATAGCATAGCATTCACCAATAACACTGAAATTTTGTTTGTAGTGCAGCTATCCAAGCTAGTCGGCTGTATGTCTCCCTGTTACGTATCGTCGTTAGGAGTGAATGTAATCCGTTTTTATTGTCGCACCACTAATGGTGTCATTTTTATAAAACCCACGGATATAGCTGTTAAATTAATACCCAATCTTATTCGAACATTGCACAAGTCCTTTTACTTAATTTGTTTATTCAAAGTGAATAAGCGTGGGAGAGCCATGCTTCGGCATGAATGGGCCGGCTCGACCGGAGTGATACCACGGCCTCACAGATAATCGACGTGAAACAACTCTTGTTTGCGTTGTTTCGTCTTGTGTGCGAGGTTACCGGAGGTCCAACTATCCCCCTTCTCGAATCGCCCCAACCCAAAGCTTGGGGGTTTCTTCAAATTCCTAATCCGCAAAAGGCAGGTAAAGCACTTGTAACACTTCTAGTATTCCGGGTGTTCAAGGGCGGCGCCGATTGCTTACCATCAGGTGATTTGTCTGTCTGAAAAGTGACTGAATAGTCCGACTTATTTTTCACCAGCGAGGTATTTCCGTTTTGTGAGTGTCCGACTTGCAGTTATTTTGGGATTGATTCTTTCGTACTGGGAAGGAGTCGTGCCTATAAAGGAGTTGTCTCATTTTGTACAGTCATTCTTGGGTGTTACATGTACCTACATACATAATATTAGGTAAAGCCACTTAGTAATAAATGTTATTCGTTTTTATTCATCCATCGGTTTAAAATGCTATAGATAAAAGGCGTTTACAATAGGCGTGTCGACAGGGTAAAAAAATCAAAAAAGTAATTAGTCCATCATTAAGATCGCACGAAAATATCAGACACGTATTTTTTGTTTTATCAAATTAACAGAAGAATACGTAGTTATTCTACATTAAAGTTAGGGAGTGGGGGATGTTGACGTCACACTTACGGAGAAATCGTACCTAATTGTAACGTCACGCGTCATTTTAACTCAAAATATCTACATGTTTTTTTGGATACGAGAAAAAAGAAAAAATACGTATCGAAGATTTTTAAAATATCTGAAAGACGGACAAAAAATTAAAAAATAGTCGCCATGCCTATTATAAGTAATCTACCGTTAAGCCCTATTACCATGATATAAACAAACGTACCTTCGTTATTGCGGGGACAAATCCTTCAGGGAACAACACAGCTATTAGCGCGCGCAAACGCTATATGTCAACGACATTTCGAGATAACCTAGTTTTGGAAACGTGCGTGAACGCGCGTTGATTTGTATTAACAAGCAAGGTTGGTTGATCCGCCACAGAATCTCTAGGGATCATTCAAATAGTTGATAACTTTTTCCCAATTAGAAACAAGTTTTACCATATGAAACATATTTTTTTTTATAATTAGTACTGTTTATAAAAAGCTATTCATTTCCTATTATTCGCAATTAAGATTTTTTCCACTATTGATGGTGTTGAAATTTTCTACAAAACTAATAATTGAGAAACGGCACCACAAATCTCACTTATTTCTGTTAAGGTGAGTCTTCTTTCTATGGAAAATATGCATTAATTCTGATAAAATTTCAAGTTTAGCAACTTTTTTATCTAACTTGAGCATTCAAAATAAATTGATTTGCGTGCCAATAAAAAACAAATTCCACTTGGAGTTTTTATTCCGTCGTCATTGAATCGATTGAGCCAACCATCCAACCAGTCGAGTTGGAAGGTAAACTTTTTTAAACGATGAACTGAATAAATAAGTATAAAAAATGTGTTGTAAGATGTTCCTGCTATTGAATTATTTATTGATAGCTCTTTCAATGCACTTTGCATGTCTTCATAAGAACATTTTTACAGTCATTAAATGAATAAGTGTTTCCCTAAAATAAATATTAGTCAAACCAGAATTAAGCACCAAACCAAAAGCAATATCACAGTAATAAAAAAGTGTGGGAGAGCCATGCTTCGGCACGAGCAAGCCTGCTCAACCGGAGTGATACCACGGCCTAACAGAAAACCGACGTCAAACAACGCTTGCATTTTGTCGCGCGTGTGAGGTTACTGGATGCTCAACATTCCCCCCCTTCCCCTTGCTTCCCCAATATCCCCAATCCATGAATCCCCGCCATTCCTAATCCCCAAAAGGCCGGTAACGCACTTATAACGTCCCTGCTGTTCAAAGTGTCCATGGGCGACGCCGATTGTTTACCATCAGGTGATCCGTCTGCTCGCTTACTGGGTGTATCCCATTAAAAAAACGTAACTCATACCTAGCTAATGTATATTTTTAGTTTGAAAAGACACAAAGAATATAAATTGCAAGCTATACTTAATGACTTACCTATGTACTAGTATTTTTAATTACTCATCTCACATGTTTATATTATTTACAAAACTTACCCGTCTATGTTTACAAAGAATCCTTTTTTGTATTTTAATCACTTTTCTAAGAACACGTCCTTTGTAGAATATTGCATATTACATTTTTTATGCAAACTTTGCTGCTTTTTGCAGAATTACCTGATAATTGAAATTGCGCTTGCTTCTGGCAAGTCAAACCAGAGAATGATTAATTAGTTACGTAAATCGAGTTATTATATTTCTATTTACTACTTAGAAATGTATTAAATGTCTCTTTGTTGAGAAAATATAGTGTATTCGAAGTAACTTTGTGTAACAGTTAAAGTAAATAAATGAAACAACCACATAATTTATCCGTCATAAAAACCATTGATATATTTACAACTGTCATTATTTACATATTTACATGATCAATGTCTATTACAGTAATAATTGAACCGTATTTACACAGTACAGCGGTGAAACAAAACAACATTAAAATAAATTACTATGTAGATATGTTGGTATTACTATAAACACAATTACACATAGCATACATAACATGAAGCTGTGTACGGCGTATTCATGTAACTGTTAGACGGGGTCATTCGACTACTTTTGAGACACGCCGGGACCCTCAGCCAGGTGAATTACCTCGTTGAACAGTTACGCGAGTGTGTCGTGTAACATAATACATTTAATATTTGTCACAATAGTTATAAATACAAAATGAAGCTGTGTATTGGGTCCCATTGAACATATACTGGTCCTCACATAGGTCGACATTACTTTGAACATCGGCACATCAAATTACTTTCAATCTTCAAATGATTTTCAACTTTTATTAATAAACAACAAGTTTGAAAATCTATTATAGTTTGATAAATAATTATGCTTTGGTTTATGATGAAAACTAACAGTACATTTAATTTGATTTACCTAAATAGTACCTTTCAAAAATAAAGTATGGTAGATAAAGAATTTGTAATAAAGTCAAATATTTGGTTTGATTGCAAGAAACAAGCCAATAGCGTATTCATTCCGCCGTCGTTCGGTCTGATCTAATTGAACGCTCCTTCAACCCAAACCACTTATCTTTGCAGTCTTTCCCTTTATTTCTTTCTTACAAATGTACGTTAAATGCGATTTACGTAAAGTAATGTCGACCTTATGGAATTTGCTTACACACAGTGCAAAAACATCTAGAACATTCATATTGAGTTTTTATTACATTAATTCGTTCTAATAGCTTGATGCGAGATTGTTGGTTTTGAAAATCTAAAATTATTTGATTAAGAAAATATGAAGAACATATTGATTAAAAAATTATTAAAAGTATGTATATACTTACTTCATTAGTTTGTAACAATCTTAATAGAGAAAAAATATAACACGTAGAAGAAGAAGTAATTATTATTGTTGGGTTAAATGAAAAATATGATGGTAGTATCGTCAAGGTAAGTATTTTTGTGTAATCTTTCATCAAATTATTTACCAAAATTATATTGTATTAAGTAATTATGTGAAACCAACAATCATACTTCATGCTAATTGATAATTAGATTCTGACATTCAACATGGCTACGTAAACTAATTAAAAATACAATTATGTACTCCATATGCGAGATGAATTGCATTCATTTGCATAGAAATGTTTAGCTAAGTTTGTATGCAAGAAATGTTATTACATGTTCGTGGTTGTAATATAATAAACTTTAAATTACATGTTGCCAACTGTCTCATTAATTAAAAACTTTCATTTGATTCGTTAATTTTCAGAAATAAAAACAATGTAAATTTCAATTGCATAGCAATTTACTGCGAATCATTTTACGAATTTTCTTTTCATTAATTTTTAATTATAACTTGAAATATATAGAAATGTTCACATAAATAATTTCTCTTAGAAATGTTTAGTCTAACAACTAAAGTTTAAACATAACGTTAACGTCATTCGTATAATTTTGTTTAATAATAAAATAACCACTTGATAGTTAGGTAATAGTATTTACTTCAACTATTTACACGAATCGTATATTGAAACTCCTACATATCAGTCTGCAGTGTAAAATATACTCTAATTACATCGAGTTTAAGATTCATGTTGCTATGTTGGTTCTTCTAGTTGAGTTTTACTTTGTGTTTGTATACTGTCAAGGGCTTTCAAAGTGGTCGATGATGTCATCGCTATCAAGTCTTCGTCAATGGTGGTCAGCTGGGAGTACTCGGTCTTCGGGAACATAGTCCTGTGTTTGGGTATTCTCGACCTTTTTAACTGTGAAATAAATGTTTTATTTTATACCTCATATTAGATTCACGTCAATCACGGTCGTTTCAGTATCCTATTTTAACTGTCCAAAGTTAATAAATTAGGGCAATTTCAAACGTAAATCTTATAAAAGTCTATTAGCAAAAAATAAAACAACAGAACAATTTCATTTTAATAAAATTTTGTGTATGAATTAGCTAGCATTTTCATTAGCTAAGTAATTAATCACAACTTTCCAAGCAAAAAAAATGTTTCAAACTGTAATAAAATAAATAATCCAGTGTCAATATTTGACATTGGTCGTAAAAGTACCTGAAAGAACGCCACTCAAAAAGCTTACTGTCAAACTATGAGATCTACGCTCTAAGAGATATTTAATTTTGACAGTCGTATATCTTGATCTTTTGGAATGAAATGGTATTAATCTTAGTTTATATATAGAGACATAAACCATTACTACTCGTTATCGTATGGAGACAGACAGAAACTACGGAGTATCACCTATCACGATCCTAACGTACCGAATTCTTGATTTTCTTATACCTTCGATTACATTCATGTGTATATAATATCGTGATGGCCCAGAGGTTTAAGATGCCCGCTTCTCATTATGAGAGTGCGAGTTCGAAACCTACCAACGGCAAAGGCCAATGTAACTTTTCCGAGTTATATGTACTTTCTAAGATTATCTAGACACCACTGACAAACGGTGAAGGAAAACAACGTGAAAAATTTCTAATTATAACTTTGTAATCGCCTACCTGCATTGAGCAAGCGTGGTGATTAATGCTCAAACCTTCTACGTACTTATAGGCTGTTGACGATGACGACATTCATGTATCTAATTTTATAATATAAACAAAATGTACCTTAATAGCAATCAGAGTGAGGACTGTAGCCAGTAGAAAGACGCCCACACTCCATACAGCGAGTGAGTTACGTTCTAGAATGTTCGAGGCATCGTTAGAGTCCTCGATGAAAAATGGTGCCGTTATGTGCGTGCCAATGTTCTCGGCTATCCGCCGCTTGCCTGCTGATGAGCCGTTTAAACAACCTCCTGGAACAAAGATTTACTTACTAATAGTTCCTAGATTTCATTGCAAAAAAAATCGGATTAAATAATATTAAACAGGATGTATTATAATTACAATGCGTGGCTTCTGATCCTTAAATCGGTTGAGCATTTGAAATATTTTCAACTTTATATCAGTTGTGTTATGAGTTTCATATTGTAAAATGTACAACCTATACTTCTATTTATGGAGAATCATTCCGAACTCAGAGATATTTCTGAAAATCGTGAAAACGTGTCGAACATTTCCTACCCTATCCTGGAAGAGGATATGAGATATATACATAGTTCGATACTCACGTTTACGGTCACTTAACCAATGTGTTTACCATAAATAATAATAGAAAATCCTTATTTAAATATGATTATACCAAAATAATACAATTACCTAATTGAAAATCGTTTTGATTTTAAAAACTAAAATTCAAACGACATTCTCTCTGCATTACTGCCCGCATAGCAAATTGCATCCAATTTTCTATATCAGATATTATGAATTTGATCACTGACAATTTAATAGTTATCTACTGGGAAATTAATTGTTACTGTAAATGTTATTCATTATAGTAGTAACGTACGTTGTGTTTTGTTATAACATCGAATCTACATGGTGACTAAATTAGTCATTTAGTCATTACTAGATACTACTACTACACGCTATAAGTATTTTAAAATTCATTTAATTTATACACTTTAAATAACTTGGTTTACCCCTTTGGGCACACTTAAACAAAAACATAAACATATATTCAAGTAAATGATACTTCATTTTAAACAAAATCTCATTTCGACACAAAAAGAAAACATTAGTACGTACCTAATGTGATTATCGTCAACAAAGCAACATTTCGTTGTATAAGCGTAGCCACAATTAATGAATGTTCGTAAACCTAACCTTAACCAATTGTACACAAAGCTTAGAAACCTTTGAAGGGACAAAAGGTATTTGTAAGGATAACTATCAATACATCGTATATTGGGAACTAGTATATCTTCAGGGCAACGACTGTGTTTAAGGTCAACTACAAATCTAATTCTTTTGTACGAACTAAATACACAGTCTTTCTACAAAACATTTTTAAGTAAGTCGATTGGAATTTTCGAAACTTGTAGTTGAAAGTGATTGGCTTATTATACATAAACTTGCTAGTCATTTTAAATCTATTAAATAGGTATAAAAATAGGTTCTGTATAGACAAAATTAAAGCCTTGGGTATAAAATTCAAGACGATTTCTTTTCTTCTAATTTGGAGTGTTTGTGGTGTGGGTTGACTAATTTATACGTATCGGAAGATACAGAACATTACTATCCATAGCAAGAATACTTATAGTACATTATTTTTTGTCTTCTATCTCTAACAATTAATTGCTCTGTGCGAAGTTAAATACCGAACCAAATATTGTATTATTGACCAAAATCTCAATGAGCATACTACCTCTATAATAAAGTTTCGATTACGAAAATTCGCGCGAGAGAATCCTTAAACAAAAATTAGGGCATAGAGCTTCGTAAGTAAGATGAAGGACTCCGTCGAGATTTATAAATCACAAAAGTTGCTACCATTTACTTTTGGATATGCCCCAAAGTTTACGTAAGTATTTATCTTAGATTTATCTGTCAAAACATTACAAATGCGTAATTTGTATGTACGTGAGTTGACTCGATGAAAATCAAAACTTCGGCAATTCGTATTACCGATGACACTCAAGTAAACATGTATCGAGTTAATGTTATAAATAACTACCTCTTTAGTGGAATAGCTACAAACTTCAACACATGTCCTTTTTTTTAATTTTCAGATCTAATAATCTGTTATGGAGTTCCTGGTTTTAAAAGTTTCGTGTGATGTGGAAAAACTCCGATTTTCTACTTTTACTCGAAACACGTGTGCTTTGTAATTTTATACATAATGCCACTAAACTTACCAATATCCTTATCACAGTGGCAGCAATCGGTCTGATTACTATTTATGAGAAGCGACGCCGTGCTCTCGGTGCAGCATGGCAAACATTTGTGATTCACTCTGCGAATAAAAAGGAACTGATAGAATGTTTTATGTAAATAAAATATGCATTTAAACAAAAAAACAGTCTTATTGTTCGAAACACTGAGTGAAAAAAATGATTTAAAAGACAACAATAAGCTTAAAACTACGAAAAAAACATAACAATATACATATCCAATCATATTTCAATGCTTAATTTATTATTGATGGAAAGTCCTACCCATCCTATTATAATTGCAGAGTGTTATTAATAAAATAATTAAATGTCATTCTGACATAGAGCTTCACTCAATTAAAGTCATCAACTAAAATGGTTCGTTGTTAAGTTATTTAATTATTATTTATTATACTGACCTATCTAAACGTAGGGGGTGTGCACACGTGAGACAACTGGTTGGACCCGGACCCGAGCACGACCTGCAGGAGTCGTGGCACGGGCGACAACTCCTCGTTCTAGGCTCGTAGTACTGAGAACTAAGGCACTCCACACATAAACCGTTTTCTAATGAAAAATGCTGTGGGCATGATGTACAGCGCTGAGGCCCAGCGCCATGACAGTCTTGACAATAATGGTGGCAACGACGACAACCCGCCTGCCAAGAAAAGAAGTTCTGTGGACATTCGGGGTGACACTCTCCCGCCGCCAATCTCCAGTCAGGGGGACATGATGCACATTGATCTCTTCTAGGGCCTGTGCACGTCTCACATGACAAGTAACACTTGGAACAAGTCCCTTCATCAGGATAGTAGCCAGGAGCACAAATCGCTCTACATGTTCCCGACTGCAAACGTAAGGCACCAGCGCACATTGTGCAGTTCAATCTTGATACGCAGCTCTTACAAGTATGTGGACACGGCGAACATCTTCCTGCAGTCTGATAGAAACCTGGTCCACACTCAGCTACGCACCTAAAATCAATATTTCATGTTTAAATGAACACTTGAAACCGTACAGGAAAGGTTCAGATGGATAAAGGGCCATTACCTCGATCCTTGTAACAACAAGGGACTCGAACAAGACAAACAGTCCCAGTCGTTCGACCCGCTACATTTCTCGCAGAGCGAGTGGCAATTTTTACACCTTCCCCCTTCGTAATACTCATCTGTAATAATACTTCAGTTAGTCTAAACGAAATAACACGTGAATATCATTGTTCACAGACATTAGGTGCTTACTTGTGTCACATTTATCATTGCCATCGGGTAGACAAGTTCCACTCTTAGTCAAAATCCATTTTTCTTGGCATACTGTACAAACGGCATTGGTGCATGCAGAACAACCAATTGAACACCTTAAACAACAATGTTTCGTTCTTTAATCGAGATTAAATATAAAGACCACAATTTAAATGCTCGAATAATATGTAGTTCAAAGCAAAATGTTTGAAATTCCAAGCGTTCGTAAGATTGACGACCTCTGTTTCATCACGGAATGGAATGTAAAGATAAATTATCATAACAATAACACTTACGGCAAACATTCCCTTCTTTGGGCGTCGGCGTAATATCCTGAGGGGCATTTTGCTTCACAGCAATTTCTAAATGCGTAATCACCAATGCGACATGAAACACACGCATTTTGGCTAGGGCCGTGACAAGATTCACACGTTTCATGACATGGTATGCATCCGAAATCATCTTTTTGGTGTGTACCAGGAGGACAGGTCGCTAAACAAGAGCCGTTGTAAAGGACATAATTATGAAGACACGAAGAGCACATATCTGCCTTTTCAGAACAGGTATAACAATGCTCGGCACATGGAAAACAGGCGTTAGCATCGGGGTCTTCATAATATCCCTCCGGACATACTTGCAAACAAACAGCTAAATCAACTACTAGCAGATGAGCAGGGGCGCATGTGAGACACGAATCTTGGCCAGCTCCTGCACACGTCTCGCATGACTCGTGGCACGGCCAACAAACTCCACCTTGGTTAACGAAGCTTCTCGGGGGACATCGAGACACGCATGTGTTATCTAAACGATAATGCTTGCAGGCAACACACTGAGTTGGCCCCTTCCCATAACAGCCTTGTGAATCACATTCCGGATCACACAGTCTTTGCACTTGTTTATCGTTGGCATCTGCCAAAACATTTTTACGCTGTGCGGATGGAATATTTTTGGGGTAATTACGTCTATCAGAAATGCCAAGTTCGATTTCGTTGAGGAATTGGGAGTATTCTGAAGCGTCGTAAACATCGTTAACGTGATAAGCCTTTTCTTGCTTATAAACATTATTTGAGTTAAAATAGCTTTTATTTCGTAACTGTATTGGACTGGTAGCCGTGCCGTAAAATATTAACTGCCACTTTTTCAATATGCCCGGTTGAGTGACGTGGATATTACCGGCGTTTAATATCTGAAGAGTCCAACGCCCTTCGGCACTTTCTCCCCAAAAATGGACACTTAAAAACGGCCAATCGTCGAAGTTAGAACTCGTAGCGTCATGCGTCCTCTCCAATAAAAGGGTGGAAGTAGTCCCCATCGGCGACGTAAGCAATATCCGTAAATTTCCTCTAGGGAAAAAGCTCAGTGAAATTTTACATTGAACGTGTTCCAAAAATCTGACCTCGTTCATCGTCCCGCTGCACCCATTCACATCCATGTGCACTGATATCGTATAACCGAAAGATGTTTCAATAGACTTGTCCTCGTTTATTTCTTGCGACTTACAAATGTGCTGAGGGGGTACATTTGTCCATTGTTCGGCTAATGTTACCATCTGAGCGGCATCCATTAGCCCGTAACCAAACTTATGACTCACTTTTCTCTTCACACCATTTACGATCCATCCTTCTTCTTTTTCTAGTGGCTGTGAACGAGATGTCATTACGATGAGATGTTGCATATCCCGCCAGGTTAGTAATGGATTTGCTTCTAAAGCTAATGCACATATTCCTGCAGCTAATGGCGCCGACGCCGAAGTACCTGTGTGATCTACAGTACAAATGTGATCAGGACGTAATTGCACGTCCATATCAACCGTGGCCACGCTTTTGTCTCGACCTGGGGTTCCTGAACTATAGGTTGAAGCTATTGTTGAAGAGCATTCTTCTAAATACCACGGTTTGTATCCCCCCTGTGTTGCACTAGAAATAGAAATAGTAAATATACTATTCGCGTATCCATCACAATTGCAAGAGTCCGTATGCCTGCCGCCATTTCCCGACGCCCATATAAAAATAGATCCTTTTCCGCCTCTTCCGTTCGTCACGCCATTTATAAACGCCCTGAAACAAAGCAGTTTTTAATGAGCTCGCCTGTAACCATTTCTCTAAGCCACGTGCAATTAGACAATACCTTCTAGCCAGAGGGCCGGGACCATCGACTGTTTTGCCGTCGTCCTCGGGGCCCCATGACGCACTGTATATGTCTATGTGATGTGTGTTAAATCCCAGTGCTTGGGCTTCCACTGCGTCGTTAACAAGGCCGTCGAGCATCCTGACTCCTCCAATGCTGGCATTGTAAGCTATGCCGACGCCGCAATATCTATTGTAGGCGACCGCAGCCACCTCACCCGCGCACCGGGTGCCGTGTTTATTGTCGCCATTGTCCTGCGGTGTCGGGTCGGTGTCATTCCCATTTATGTCCGTCGATGCCGCAGGATCCTACAATATCGGGTTTTCTGTTCAATACACGTCAGCTACGTAATACATGGACGCTTAAGAGAAATCGTTTGTTCTAAATTGAATTTTCATTTGACAGTTGTTAGCACCTTAATTAATGGGTGTTTCATAGTACTTTTTGGGAAATATTAAAAATATATTTACGTAATTCTGTGATAGATCTGGATGGTTAGGTTGAATGCCGTCATCTAAGATGGTGATAACGACTCCTTTCCCCGTGTAGCCCTTCCTCCAAGCATAGCCAACATTCATGTCTAAACCGTCAGCTGCACCTCCATTCTGCAACGAAAAAGGTTAATAATATCTAAAAATAGGTAACTCATAAATGCACTCTAGTGGACGAATACTACTCTTTGCGCATTGCATAATTAATGTTGATGTTGCCGTGGAAGGGGATCGAAGTTAGTGAGTGTTACGTAATAGTGATTACAAACAAACTACTTACTGCGGTCTTTGTAATCTCAAGCCTAAATTTCCACATTAAAGGATAGTCGATTATTTTGCTGATAATAATAAAAAAACCGACATATTTTTCAATTACATCATTGCAATACATAATTATGTATGCGTAAGTAATTTTTGGGTATGATGTTATGAGTCCCTGTATCTATCTATAACATACCGCTAGCCTCTTCCTTTTCGTGACTATAATTATTGTAGGTACACTTTACTGTAATAGATACATACGTGCGTGAGGCCAAGGTGTTTAACCTGGCCATAAAAGTTGTAATGCCATAAACCAAAATGACATAAACCTATTCAATTAGTAAAATTATAGACTCATTAAATTGTGAGTCTAGCTTTAACCTTGTAGCACCATAAATTGTTAACAAAATAAAAATCAAAAACACTAAATTATTCAACGTATAGTACTGAAAATGACAAATTCTGTGAAAAGTAAGATTGCATGTAATAAGCAACATATAATATTCCGTATTCGTATTTGATGTGTACGATTCACAAGTCGTTTCCCAGTAAAACGTGTCGGGGACGACTTATTACCAAATAAAGTGGAACAAATTCATCACACCGGTGGAAACGTTTCATACCTCCCTATATTTTATTCAACGGAATTCATTCCCACTTTAGTCAACCTCCGTACAATAAAATTGTACCCGAATAAAGCAGGCAACATTACGAGTGGCCTTATAAAACAATAGGACATCAAGGTCACAGGTAATAACCCTCGGAAAAGGAGGTATCCGCTTTATACCTGAATCTTGGGACTAAACTACTGAATTAGTAATTTTGCCACTATTCTTTGTAGGATGAATTTTGGGTACCAAGTACAAATGATAGCGTCTCGCTTTGTTCTGCTAAAGTTCGTTGACTTGGTACATTCGTACTATAAAATTATGCTTAACATCTGCCTCTGAAATGTTCTGCAATATTTTCTACTTGGACTGAATTTTAAGCAGTGCATTATTATTAAACGTAATATTATTCATTCGATTTATTACAGCTAATAATATTGTTGTGTTGAATAAATTGCGTTGATGTGATTATTTTACTTTGAACAGTAAATTAAGCTATAAGATATAAAATTTGAAATAAATTATGAAAGTACTATCCTACACATTATAATTTGTCAGATAGTAAAAGAAGACTTTAAAATGAAAGAATATAATATAAGAAATTGTTTGCATTTGTGATTAACCAATTAGAATAAAATATGCGTCTACTGAAATCACATTTTCTCCATTTTAAGTGTAGTTTAAAAACGAAAGTGAAGTATTTTTACATTATCTTCAGTCTAACAATGAAAGCAAACGAAAATTTTGCGTTTTAATGTGTCTTTTAATTGTTATGAAGGGCATGCCGGATGCTCATAAACGTACAATGGCCAGTACTTTATTAGAAGTACTGAAACGTTTAAAATCTTTATCTTTTTATGTTTTATTTTCCATATTATTTCAGTTTTATTTGTATAATTATCAAAACCAACTTGGAACTCAATTCTTAAAAAAATAATTATTATCTTATATTTCCACCAGGATAACTTACAGTATTTGTCTACAATATTAATAATAAATGAACACAAACTAAAATGATTGAAATTCTCACCAAATACCACTGCTCTTTGAACAGAGGGTCGGGGAAGGCAGGCGCACTGGATTGCCTCATCACGTGCCTCGGCTGCGACTGATGGTCCCTCTTGGACCTCCGCAACTCCCTCTGCTGCATAACCCATCTCACCTGTCAAATGATCTGTCTTTAATCCTCTTTGCTAAGGCAAAAAGTGGTGAGCAAGAGTGCTCAGAATTTAAAAGAGTGGAAAAAGGCGGCAGTCACTTTGATAATATTTTTGGTACCTTCAATTTTTTACGTAGGTATGACAAGTGCCATAAAAGTAGGAAAAAGGTTGATTGAGAAAATGGCACTTATGAACATAAAAAATCAACATTTCTTTTAATTTTATTTTTTATGGAATAAAGTAATAAAGTAAACAAGCAAACGGTGAACGGATCACCTGATGGCAAGCGATCAGCGCCGCCCATAGACACCCGCAACACCTAAAGAACAAGAGGTGTGTTGCCGGCCTTTTTACAAACAATACTCTCTTTTCTTGAAGGTTTGAAAGTCGTATCGGTCGTATTATTTCGTAACCAACTTCATGATAGTAGCTATGATCTATAGACACATGTAACATAACGCATCAATACACCCAATTAACAGTTTCCAATGTACAATCATAACCTAGTTTTATATTTGTCAATATGACAAAGGTCTACTCGATCGCCTAAGTACGTTACTTAAAGTCAAACATTGATTAAAACTATTTAAATTCAAATTCACAGTATCGAAGTTGTGCTACCAACAGAATCTCAAACCATTAATGTTCGATCGTTAGCTATGTATTAAATGTGAAGCGTCACGTTTTGGTCATAAACAAGGCCATATTAACACCAACTAGTCTAGAACTATTGTGCTTACAGACAATGATAATACCTGTAATGTCTAAACTTGGGATATTGGTGGTACCAAGTTATTTAGTTTGGGAGGTCAAGTAGTTTCTGCATGTTTGAATAATAGTGTAACTAAACATTGCGGGTACATTTTGTGATTTATAATATAATACCATAAAACTGTGAAAAATATACGATTCTCTAGAAATACTGTAATTTATAACTTCACATAACCATCTATAAAATTAAATAAAACAAAGTGTTCAACCCGCCCATTAGCCAAGTTTTGTAAGTCGTTCTGTACTGTTTGGTCAGTACATTAAACTGTCGATCAAACTTGTACCTTATCTTAACTAAACACCAAAATCACTCAGGCAAATCGATCTTTTCACCGGACCTCTATTTTGGACAAGCAGTCGACAGGAAAACTTCATGGATGGGTAGATTCTATTCAAATTGGAAGATTAACTAACTGGCCAATCCCTTGAGACAGAATCCTTACGTCAATACGGCATGGAATCAATTATTCAAAATGGAGCAAGTCATGATATTGAAGCCGATAACTTTAAGGATAATCCCAATGAATAATTCGATGGTGGACCGATGTCAATCAAATTAACGTGTATTGATTGGGTTCGTAAACAAACATCTTCGGTTCGTTTGTACGACTAGCTTGTAATTTGAACACAATTTTGTTGCTATGTGAGTTTGCTTACTCTATCTATCTGTTATTTATCTATTTAGAATTTACTGTTCAGTTGTTTCGTTTTCTTATTTATTGTTTTGATACAGTGCCTGTTATCTGGGGTAAGCATTTTGAGATTTTAGTATTTCTCTTAAATATAACGTTAATCAACGAATGTGAATTTTTTATAGGATAAACGAGAAGTGGGTGGATCACCTGATGGTAAGCCATCGGCTCCGCCCATGGACACCTGAAACACCAGAGGCGTTACAAGTGCCTTATCGGCCTTGCATGCATGCAAAACATGGCTATCCCATACTGCATTAACTGCGTGATTATTTAATTCTAGCTTTATAACATACGAGTATGTTTATCGTGTATATTCGCACACCTAACGAATAGTCGTTAGGTATGGGTCAAAAGTATCCTTGGTGTGAACTATTGCAACATTTTTATTATATCATCATACAAGGACTAGATTATTTAAGATCTAATAATTTGTTCCATTCTCATGTCTACAATTTACACGTATGTATGTATATCAAAATATGTACCAAGAAAGCAGTTGATACCAAATTTTCTTTGATATTTTGATACTAATGAATAATTACACATAATTAAATATCATATCTTTCTCAAATCAAAATTAACTTGAATTTTCCACTCCCTCTTAATAATGCCTCACTTAATAATCTCCGTTATTAAAAGGAGACGTTTTGGAAAAGCAATGTTAACATGACGTAACATAATTAATTATATACATAACCTAGTTCATTACCAAGTTAAATAACATTACTATGTCAAATTACAGCGTTAGTTTATTTAATGGTAGCAAATAGTTTAACGAAGTTTAATAAATGTATGTACCTATGAAATTAATATCAATCCATACAGTTACCATGGGATAATTAGTATATGGAGTTAGTGGAATTGAGATTTACGTTTCATTACAAATCTATTCTTCCTATAATTATGTATAGTTTCCAAAAACTTTAAAATGATATAATATTGTATCTATCAGAGCTACCCACTCTACACCAAAAGAATAATATATTGAATCTTCTTTTCACGTGTGAATAGCAAAAACTTAAACTCCGCTTAACTGTTACCACTTTAAACAATACAAATATTAATTATAAATTATAATAATATTTATTTATTTACAAAATTTACATATATAACACTACAGCTTACGCCATTAAGTTATACTGTTAATCTTATATAAATACTATGACTTAGGTGCTTCAAAACAAACTAATTAGTATTACTATTATTAATATGCTTCTATATATTATTTTTTAGAAATAAATAATAATGAAAAATGCTTACCTGTGGGTCATTTTTAAGGTTATTATAATGGTCGATGCTGGCGTTAGGTGATCTCTTACTGACGTGTGGATGTGATAGTAAAAAGTAGTGCTTCAGATTTCCAATCTGTAAAGAATAAATCAAATTAATTGAATTTCAAGGAAGCAATTACTGTAGTGATTTTATTATATAATCAGTTGAAGAAACAAGAAAACCCTTCGGATCATTTGACATTTTGATTATTAAGTTGAACAAAGTTGTATATAAGGCTTTATGTTTTATTTTATAATCTACTAATAGGTCGGTTTGTTGACACAAAGATATTACTAAATAGACGTATAAAGTCCTGCCGTAGCAGCTACGAGACTATGCGGCTACGCCGTAGCCCGTAGACGACACAATTCCTTGGATTTTTATCTTTGTTCACTTGGTTCGTTCTAAAGGCCACGGGTTATCATACAGAATAATTATTTTATAAAGGAAATTTGTAGTAACTAATAAACAAATGTGTACGCAAAATATTGAAACAATAGGTACTTGTAAGTGTGTATGTCTATCATGACAAATGACAATTATATCTAGTTAATAACACAGACAATAGGTTCTGTTAATATTCGATCAAGTAATCTAATTGTTTAGCAATAATAGAACTAACACACTAATCGTGAGGCGAAATACTATAATCTATCGATAATTTATTAATTAATCAAACGAGAATTGCTAGTGGCATTTGATGCCACTACTTGGTATTTAATATCATATTATTATGTTATGTCTATTTATGTTGTACATAACTATATTCTTATCTCCTCTCAGAGTCTACAACGTGTATAATAATTATTACATACAATAATAATTCCTTTTTATCGCATTGAATATTAAAAATGGCTGGGGGCGGTACAGTAGCACCCTGTATTTAAAAAGTCATGAGATCAGTAAACAAATATCTTTGGACAAAGAGAATTGTCTGCAAGAATGAAAAAACATCATGTAGGTATATTTTTAACTTCAAACGACCTCAATTATATTTACCGTACCGAACTACAATTATACTGTTAATTAAATCTTCAATATTTAAATACACTGTTTTCAAAAGAGATATGAGTTTTTATGTATTTTATTAACAACATACAATTTATATGTTACACTTAATCGCATTGAAATATAAATGAATGTAACTTCAAACAAAATATTACTTCCACGTACATATTTGGTCAGGTTTATTAAAACAATGAAACAATACCAATATTTTTGGGCTGCAACCAAAACTTTGCAAACAATAACAGTTCTTGAAATAACAATATTGTGGGCAAAGCTTTTTTAGACAACAGAGACCATTTTTAGATTGTTATGTTATAAAATATGACGTCAACATTGGGTTCAAAGGGTTCTCTTTTTATCGTCCATAAAAATGCCACCCAATAGTTATGCTTCGATAGAACGGAGTATCGTTTCTCCCAACAAAGGCCGTTGTGCCCACAATGTCATTGATACACCACACACCCATACAGTTTAGCAGATCGCTGGATTGAACTTTTTACTTGCTTTTATTGTAAATCATATTGCTATATTTTTGCTAGTATTTTGTCTGAAGAAACAGAACACTATGTGTATAGGTTATATTTGTGGAATGTCATGTTTTACACCATTGTACCTATAATAACATTTTTTGGATTACATAAAGAATTACTACGAGTGGGAATCGAACCCAAGACATACAGCGACCTAACGAATTCGTTAATTGTAGTAGTCTAACTTTTAGAGAGTAATAAAACTCAGGTCCTTTTGCTTAGAAGAAACAACTAACAACAATTTCGTCGGCGAGGATAAAACACTGCCAACACAAACACCATGTTTTATGTAAAACACACATTACAGTCCGGTGTAAACGCAGTCCATTTTAAACGTTCCCAAAATGAGGTCAAGCACTTTGTGGCTGTTTATCCATACTCAGTTTGTTCCCATTGTTAGAAACCGGTTCTAATTAATTTAGAATACCTTTGTTTTATTATAAATTTCCCATTATATTGTCGGGAATTTGACAACTTGGTCTTTTGTTCTGGATTAAATAAGTAATTTATTAATTATAACAAGTAGCTGCGTTGTTGTTCGGAGTTTATAATTTGTTTATTTGATTTACGTTAAATGGCTAATGTTATTCTATATGTTGAAAACAAAATTCGTAGATAAAATATGAATGAGAAAAAGAAATGATAAAGTATGATAGTTATCGTCTCGACGGAACGCTCACAAAGTTATAAAACCAGTTGACACATAACGAAGGGTCTGACTTAGCGACAGTCTACCCATCTGATTTATTCTCTAAACCTGACTAAACTTGTCTTCCTATTCGGTGAAGCAACTAAAGTTTAAACCCTACATTAATCACTAATCCACGTTAAACGTTATATTACTGCCACTTAACATTGTTTTATCTACATAATGTGACAGTTTTCTAGAAGAGGGTAAGCACACCAGTATTGCGTTGTCAAATAAATGATAAAACCTAGAATTTGTGTGAGACAGAGTAGTACTCTAGAATACTGGGAAGACTCACTGCGAATGCCTGATCGACAAAATACCCTAATAGAATGTTTTATAAAAGCAATTTCATGTAAGTATTGCCGAGCGGTTTATAACTCTATAGCTATATACCAACAGGCAACTTTAATAGATTTCAATTTACAAGAAATGGATCCCAATAGTATTAGAGGCTCTAAGGCTTGGAACGCATTAGCTAACTGCTTTCATATTGTAGTTGTTCATTGCAGAAATTACAACCGTTTCTTTATTTTCTTTCCTAACTTACTTAACATTTTGGTTGCGTCTCCCCTTATAAAGCCTGACAATAAGCTCGATTTATTTAAAATTAATCAAGATAATGACCACTGATTGTCAGTAATCTGCTCAGTTTATTTAGCGTGAACCAGACGGGCTTATGATAATCCTTTGGGACTCATAATGAGTTGAATTAGAACGCCAGGGCGCATGTAACAGTTAACAGAGAGAGATGTTACACGAGGTCAACAAATGAGGCATTAACTTTACAACATTATTTGAAATTTACATGCCACCACAACTAAACTTCACCATTCAATGATAAAATATCCAAAAAAGCAATTTACGCCAGTTAAGATGTCAATCTCTACATAATAAAATATCGAAATTCAAATATGTTACAAAAATTTTCAATGACCAAATATTGAATTTTTCCATAAAACATTTTTGTTACTGCATTTGTTTAGTACAATAGAGATGTTACCTGTATGTACCTCTATAATATTTAGGTCACTATCGAATAATGCAGGCTACACGTTGATTCATAATTATTTAAAGTTCAATGACATAATTACACAATAAAGTTCCTAAAATCCACCTATCGATAGAAATTCATTAACCAATTCAAGTACAATGTTCCTGAAGCTCTATAAAAGGTTATTATTCCCTGAATAGCTAGTTAAAACACTTCAATTTACCAGAACTAGCGACTGATTAAGCACCCTCTCTCCACAAAGGCATAATACCGTATAGATTTTAGTAGACAAAACGGACGATTCTACTAAGTGCTATCTGAGTTCACACGACCATAAACTGCGGAGTTTTAAGATTGCAATGGTGCATAAATTGTGACCAGTTATTGTGCCTCTGGGAGACCTCGATAAGGAGCCACTTACATTCAACATTTATATTTCCTTACGTGTCGAAATGTGAAACGCAACAAGTTCTTTTGAAAAGGATAAAAATTCTCTGGTAGGTCAGAATTATTAAAGTTTTTTCGAACAGTCTTTGTCCGAATTTTTATAGTTACTTTGTATTCTATTGTCCAAACGTAAGCATTCTATATGGACGTGTACCTATCTACATAATTAAGTTAAACCGAAATGACCAAGCAGAAAGTACAAGTAGTATTTGGTCAAAGAAATCTTTGGCCACAGATCTATTGAGTGAAACGTATATTTGTTTGCCACTTCTTGTACATTACATTGTACAATTAAAAAGATTTGTTCGTTTGTAAACAGGCCAATATACATAACTAAAGGAAATGTCTAGTCGTAAATAAGCCGCCAAGCCGTTACTAAGTGTGTTAAGTAAGATTTACATCTGAAAGTTTCCAGTGAGAAAACATTTAGCTTACCAGTTGGCTTATTAGAAAATGGTTAGTGTTAGGGTGCGATACACGAATACCTAATTTGTGTTTCCTTTGTTAGAGGTGTTTAAAATTACTAGTTTGTATATTTACCGTGGCTCAAATAGTAAATGTATTAGCAAACGATCAGTAGGCCAATCGTTTACCAGGTATTGATAACAGTAGTGCTACCTACTTTTCAATATATGTAATGTCCGTGTGTTGCAGTGAAGTGGCAGCTTTACAAAGACTTCACGAAGTGCGTTGAAGCGAGATTCCAATTATCCAGAGCTTTTGTTCTTTCTCACTCCAGCGCTCTATTGTCATCACACTCGCACATTCAATGAATATTTTTCATTCATTTGTGGTTTTAATTAATATCTATTTTAGTCAAATTTCAATGGAAACTGTACCCTTCCGTACCCAACGTGTCCGCCTTTGTTGTTTAATTGATTTTCGACGTTATCTGTGCCGAAACTGTAATGGAACGTGTTTATTGTGAAAAGCCTTTTATATGTTCCTATCACACATTTAATGTCGGCTTAGCCATTCCTGTGTGAGATATTCCTTTTGATATTTTTGGGCTTTATTATTTGGAAAGTAAAATAATCCTTTGTTTGCAAGAGTTCAAATAGTTTTCCGATGAAATAAATACTTATTTAGTAGACCATAAATTAATTCATGAACAGACAAAAACAATATCTTACTCATTTATCGATTTTAATTAAAATTCCATCGAAAAGCATTATCGGAACATAAAAATATATTTTATTTCAAATTATAAATCACTTTGAGCATTGATCTCATTTAAAATAATTTCTATTTTTGTTTAAGCCTTAATCTTTTAGGACCAGACTGGTTGACATTCAATACTATTCTCTGAGGAAATTAGTAGATTTTATCGTTCAACTAAGAGGTATTTCAATTTTACAAAACTTATTTACTTTTTTAATTTAATATCGGTCATTTAAATCACGAGAATCACAAAATCGTTGACGAG